AAATATTAGAAGCTATCTTATACCAAATCAGTTTGGGTTTTTTCTTCAATATTATCCATCTTGACTTGCACTATTTTTCTTGACTCTTGGACTCTTCTCAACCATACCTTGAGCAAGACATGCTCCAAAGAAAATTTCTGACTTAAAATGCAAAACTTCTTACAACCATAATTGTAACATGTTTTGATAAACAGTCAAATTCCAAAACTTTGGCATATAGTTAAACATTACATTAACAGTTTAAGAGTTTCCTATACATTTAGTTATATATGCTAATACACTATCCCCAAAATATACCAAATAATCACATGATCATTTCATTATCATATTTAATGTGATCTGCAGGAATGTATAATGTTACCAGTTTGGTGAAACACTGCTATTGCTTTCATCAAGAGTTTTGGTCAATACTACAAATAAATTCTTGGTAAAAAGTATAGCTTGAAAACCATGAGGGCATAGCCTTAACATAACAGAATCTGCACACAAATACAGAATTATTATTCCACAATGGCTTTTCTAGAAATGAAAAGGATAAAAGGATAAAATTATTAAAAATGGACTCCCAGTTTTTCTCATAAGACAACTGATGTTTGGGCAGCAACAGACAATTGAAATGATAAACTAGAAAAAACTATATAAGTTACTGATACATAAAAGGTAAGGGATATTATAAGTGTAAAATCCAGACGTGGGTTGCTCCCGGTTCGGCCCGGATCGGGCAAGTCAGTAGCAGCAGTGGAAGGCTCTACCCACTCACCGGATACTTCTGTGCATGCGGGACCACACCCAAACCAGTAGTTGGCAACCCACCACTGGTCCATTATAGTACAGTGTAATTCAAGTTTGTCCACTTTTCCCTCCCTCCTTTCTATTTATTTATGCAATCAATTTTTGAGACCACAAATCTGTGCAATTTATACATAAGAAGAATACATGGAAAAGGATACACAGTTTATTGGGAGACAAAGACACCAGCAATGAAGCTTTCAAAATGTAACAGAACTAGACAATCGCCTTCCCCAAAACTTGGAAAATTTTAATTTAAACTACTCAGATGAGGTAATATTATCAATCCCTTAGAATATGGTTAAACAAACTACATTTTCTAAGCTACTGTCCTCAAAGATTCTCCAAAATTTGCTGCTGAATGCGAGCAAGGGCCATCTTAATGGGAAAGATGACCCAAAATATTTCAACAAATGAAAAAAAGAAAGAAAGAAAAAGGAAAGAATGGAAATGGAGTTCAATTTTAGTTAAAGCTACATCAGATTTAATTTTTTTTCCTGATCCTGTTTGCTTCAGTAGATACAGCACAAGTTTAACCATCCCTGTACTTAAAAGTTAAGCAGGTCCAGTCATACTTAGATCCTGAATGCTCAAAATGCCATTATCAGTAGTTGGATGGAATCCCTCAGGAAATACCAAGGTTATAAGTTTGACTGGGAAGGGTGAAAAATGTTAACCAAAGAAGACAGTGTGCATGCTATTGCCAGGAAAGCTACACTGATATATACATGAAGTTGCCAGGAGTTGAATTTGATTCAAAAGGGACTATTTTAACCAATTCTTTCTAAGTGCCTATTGTCAAGAAATCTACTGTTAGAGTTTGACTACCTAACTTTGACTCAAATGTTAAATGCAACACTAAGCCAAAAGAAAGGTATACATTCCCATCATAAAATAGAGTGACATTTTTTAATGGTTTGAAACCTAATTTCAAAAATCCTAATTATATCATCATCTCAGATCTACTGAATTTAATTTAAGGTTAGTGCCAAAACATCAGATTCAGCAAGTTTTTAATCTTGTTCAGGACTCTGCTGTTCAGTAATTTTTCCAGGGGAATCTCTCTTAGATCCTAAATGCTCAAAATGCCGCCATCAGTAGTACCACCATACCACCACCATCAACATATGGATCATTTTCACTATTGTTTTATCAATTCTAAGAATGGAAAAGACTGGATGGAAACAAAATGTACTGCAATGGCATCATCATTCCTTGATGTTTTGAAACAATAATGGGTTCGTTCAGAGCAGGAGTCATAGAAATCAAGATAATAGTTGTAGCATGAGTGAAAGCCTTCCTTTCTGTATGTGAAGAGCATGCTTCTATGCCTGGATCCATACAGGAATGACAGAAACTAAGGAATCAATATAGTACCTGCCAGAAAAAATAATATGGGGTCTCAACTCAGGGTTGGGGTTGTGCAAGAATAAATAAAAATGAAATCCAGACAGCTATGATGAAAGCTGAAATATTTATTCTCAAAAGCAAAGAGGTTTGCCTTGGAGGCAGTTGCAGAGAAAATGGGTACAGAGATACTGTTTTATAGGGAAGCTTGTCCTGGGTGGAAGTGTGTATGTACTGATTCTAGGGTGATACATGAGGTGTTTGTATGTGTGTGTGTGTGTGTGAATGTACATGTCATCTATGATGATTGTTTTTGTGAACATGCAGTTCCATTGGGAGACCATTTTAATTAATTCCATTTGTACTTACAGACCTTCTCCTTTGATATTGGATTAAATAGTGGTGAAATTCAATTTTTTGTACTACCGGTTCTGTGGGCGTGGCTTGGTAGGTAGGAGAAAGATACTGCAAAATCTCAATTCAGCCAGCCAGAGGTGGTATTTGCCGGTTGTCTGAACTAGTCAAATTTTCTGCTACTGGTTCTTCACAACCTGTCAGAACCTTCTGAATTTCACCCCTGGGATTAAGTCTGGGTAACTTATTTAAGGGTTTCAGGAAGCTGAGTAAAAGATTTCCCCGCATTTCCTATTTCTACTTGATTAACTTAGTTTCAGCTTGACTGTTAATTATCTAGCGGAGATGCCGATTCTCGGTCCATTGTAGATTTTATTAATATTTAAGGAAAGATGGAGACAGATAAGGAATAAAATATATTTTGATATAAAATGTGACACATACCTTTCAGGTGTGCTTAGACTACTGCTCCTGTTATATTCAACTTGCTATTTAGTAACATCATAGTTTTAAATGATTGGTATTATATTCAGGAAATAACAAATTGGGAAGATCAGTAATTATACATGTAGCAGTAACAGATATATTACTTTACTGTACCCCAATTCGTTATATAGCAGCAACAAATTGAGGTAAAGTAATTATTCAATTCATATTTTGCTAAACTAGTAATATAAGTGAACATTTCATGTTTTAAGACTTAAAGACTTGTCTGGAAAAGAGTTGCTTTAAAATTTAAAGTTTAAAATATTGTAGCAGTATTTTATTATCTCTCAACCTTCTACTATGGAATTTTTTTCTCAGTAATATGCTTAGTCAATATCTGAGAATCCTGCATATGTAAAGTTTGAACTTCAAATTTAAGCATGAAAAAATGTATTTTTGTGCTATTGGTGTGTGTGCCTCTCATCATTTGTCAATGGAGATGACAATAGCAGATGTAAATGTATATCAGCGACTCCTGTAAAAAGCACCAGTAATATCTAACAGTTCCAGATATGTAACATTGCTGATATTCTATTCAGAGAGTAATATCTAACAGAATACTGAGGAAGGTTTAATCTGCTGACTCAGACAACTACATTTGAAATGTTATGATGAGTTGTTAACAGTGAATACTATTGGATTTAAAAAATGTACTTATTTATTCACAGTTTAGGAACAGATAAGATGTAATTTCTTTGCCTCTTAACTTCCAATTTATTGCTACTGTATTCTAAAATAGATATTAAGTAAAAATAACTTTCAAGAAGTTATTGTGTTTGTTGTAGTTGTTGGCCATGATATATTTAACACTATTTAAATGTTTTCATGATCTGTCAGAATGCATTAGTAAAAGGGATCAGATTGTACTGAATCTATTTGGGAGAGATTGGTGGCCAAGAAATGTGAAATATAAACAAATAACTATAGATAAAATAAATATTTAAGATCAATAAATACCTAAGAATGTATCAATATCTTCTTAATCACTTGAATCTTGTATATTACTCTCTGAATAGAATATCAGCAATGTTACATATCTGGAACTATCAACTCTTAAAAATAGTTTATTTCCTCCAACCATTGCTGAATATCAAAATATTGCCAGGTCATGTTTAAGAAAGTCTATGTGGAAGCACTTTTGGTTACATGTAGCTTTCTGTATGATTGGAACACTGGCTTCATTCATAGAAAACAAAATATCTTGAGTTATGAAAAAATTGCTAAACAGAAAAATAAAAGGAAGTTAATAAATGATGACAATTACTCCCCAGAATTATCTGTGGGCTTGAAAAGGCAATGAGAGAGAAAGCAAAAGGAACACCACTGGTTTCTACACTTCAAACAAATCTTAGTAATTTCCCCCTAAATCTATATTTACTAAGTAATTATTATCTTTCATTGTGTTCTTTACATCTATTTAGTTATGCATGCTCTGCTAAATTATTTATTTAATTCTGGGGAGTATAACTACTTTTATGTTACCCTACAGTCATATTTCCAGACTGCTTTACAACTATAGTAATCCCCCCCCCCCCCGCAATATGGGAATATTTTCCACATGTGAGAAAACTAACAACTACAAAATAAGAAAAGTAGCAAAAGCAGGATACAGAATTAAAATTGCTTCCAAAAACACTTGGGATTTTTAAAATACCTTCTTTGTCAAGCAGAGAAAAGGAAAAGAAAAAGAAGCCAGCAAAGTTGGCTGGGAAAACATTCAACAGCAGATCAGCACCATTGGAAATCCTTAAGCTTTTTGTATGTGCGTTATAATGCTAAAATCTGCATTTTATTCTATGATTACAGTTTAACTTTCTTCTTCCTATAATCTATCCTGCCTAGGCGTCAAAACCATAAATCATAAGTTCATTTTTTTTTTCATTTTTACTCCATAAGGGTTTTCCAGTCAGGAATAAATGTAGATATTGTCTTTTCTTTGATCAAAGAAGTCCATTTAATCATTCACCATGGAATGTCTTTTAATTGCATTTTAAAATCCTCATATTTATTTATTTATTTTTCAGTTTTTATCTGAAACACATCTAAGTCCCAACAGTGCTTTTTGTTCAGCTCTGAAGAAGCTTCTTGGATGAGAAGTGAAACATCTTCAAAGAAAAAACAGAAAGTCTAATTGCCTCTTGAAAAAGCACCATTGGGATAACCATGACAAGGATGACTGAGAATCTCTGTAGACAAACACATCTAAGGAATTAAAATATTGTAAGTATAAATCTATAACTCATAATAAATAGTTTTTTTTAAAATCCAAAATGGATGTCAAACTTAAGCTGGGGTTGAAGGCCTTGTAAAACAGAGTTGCACATTATGCTTTTTTAATACATTGCATTCTAGTATCATTCCACATAGAGAACTGTCTAAATATAAGTATATATAATGATTTGTTTTTAAAAAGATTAAAATATTAATGCATGGCAAATGAAATTTTATGTTCTAATTCCAAACCCAGTATTGACCTATCATTCTAATTCTGCCAGAAAAAAAATAGTAAAACAGTAATTATTTATTCTATAGCTATAATGCAGAGAATGCAGACAAAATAGCTTTCTCATAATATTTTGTACAGTTGTCCCGCTTTATGGAAAAACCCCATTAGACAGCATTGTATCTAGTGTGCTCCAATAACGTACAAGGCAGGAAGGTGCCTAACAAGAATGCATGTAGTGGAAATACAACTGCTTGTTTTCTTATATTGTTTAGTATGTTATATGAAAATTGCCAAAATATGTCTGGAATGAAGCCAGATATAAACAGATGAACCTGCAGCCCTTATATATAGCATGAAGATCTTTTAAAATAAGGTTTTATTATTTTTAGCTTCCCTACCTAGAAATTTCTTTAGAAGATTTACATAAGGAGAGAGTAGCTTTCCTGTCAAATACCAATTTACGCTACATAAAATATTCTCACTTTCACACATACATTATATAAGCAAAAGGTCTTAGTTCCTTATAAGTTAATAAACTAATAACAAATGTGCAAACTCTTTCTGGGAGCAGATCTTATGTGTTGGGAATTACCATATAATCAAATACCTGATGACTCATGTTTCCTGGCTTTAACTTAAGGAAAAAGCATACATTACTATACGTCAATCTGCTCAACTAAATTTTATACAGATTAAGTTAAATTATGTGGCATAATTTGTTATTAGTTAACTGTGGAGGTATTTGAAATCAAGACATCTGTCAAAAAGATATTTTAAGGATATGATGACTTGGGTAAGGCAGTGTACAATTTTATATGACTACATGACTACATTGTGGTCTCCCTTTTCATTCAGCCTTTAGGTCACAGTTCACCAAACATAAAATGAAATATTTTAATTCAAATAATGTTGCTGCTCAATTCTAATCAAGGACTTACAGGTAATCCTCAATTTACAACAGTTCATTTAGTGATGGTTGAAAGTTACAACGACACTGTGACTTGTGACTGCTTTTCACAGTTACAACCTTTGCAGCATCCCGAC